CTCCCCTATTACCCATAGTACTCTGCTTCCCCTTTCATTTACAATCCGTACACTGCAAATTGTTGGTCCCAAAGATTTTTTTTCCCTAAATTGCTTTTGCGATTGAACTGGTTTGTTAGAAGCGTTGAAGCGAAATTAAAGCTACTGGGAAAACCATTGAAGTCTGAAAATTGGCGCAGTAGAGGTATGCACTTCTTAGAACCCTAAAGCGTAGTTTTTTCGATGTAAATTGCAAAATTGTTATCGTAATTTGTTGATTTTATGGTCTGAAATTGCCCAGTAAAAATTGTGAATTGTTGCTATGTTAAGTTGTTAATTGAGTTGAAGTTAATTGAATTGTAGTTAAATTTATGGGGAGATTTCAGGTAGGTGAGGGTGGATTTATGGGGGTCAGGGTGGATTTTTGTTGGGTGGAGGTGGCTAATCAATGGTAAGGGTTTTTCGAGAAGGTGGAGCCGTGGAGGTGAATTTAAGGGGGCGAGTAGATCTTTCAGGAGGGTGGAGGTGAACTTATGAGGGGTGGGTGGGGTTTCCGGTTGGGTAGGTGAATGTCATGGTGATGGTGGTTTTTGGGTGAGTTTTGAAGTTAAGGGCAGTGAGGCGGTGATGATTTGGGTGGAGGTGGTGGCAGTGCAATGGTGGTGTGGTGTGTCTTTGGTGAGTCTTCGGCGGTTTCGGGTCAGGGAAAGGGATAAACCCAACGGTAAGTTCCACGTCACCAAGTAAACCGGTTACAACAGGTAACGTAACCTGCTCAGTCTATTTTTGGCGAAATTATGCAAACTTGTGTCCAAAACTGGAAGATTTAAAGGTTAGTCTATTATTGGAGAACCGGCTAAAGGTTAGTCCAATGATGTTAAATTTTCCTAAAAAAAACCTAACTTGGTTGAAACTTTGAAACTAGTCATAGTAAGCCTTGTGCCAAAGCCCACAAATAAGATTTGAATGAAGCAAGGAAAAATTGCCAAACTGAGTGTTTTTGGAAAACAATTTCCCAAACAAGACGCGTGGCAAAACTATTTACCAAACTAAGCTTTCAGGGTAAAACGCCAACCAGGGTGGCGTTTTACCCTGGGCAAATTTTTTTTTTTTAATTTTTAGTCAAAGGTAAAACGCCATCAAGGGTGGCGTTTTACTGCTGGGCAAATTTTTTTAAAAAAAACATTTACACAAAAACGCTAACGCCGTTGGCGTTTTACTTTTAACACAAAAGCGCTAACGTCGTTGGCGTTTTAGAGTCGGGTATTTCTAACAGCATATATCGCTGTTCTTCATTATTCAACCAAACCCCCAAATTGCAAACCCTAACCCCGCGCATACCAACTTCCAATTCTCCATATTTGAAGCAATTTCATCACATTCCGTAGCTTAGTTTTGCATCATAGTCAATAAAAATTAATCCTCCTTCTTTGTTCAACACTGTTACGCCCTACTTTCATCGAAATTGAGGTATGTCTTGAATTTAACTATTTTACTTGTGTATGATGTTTTTTGGGAATTTATGTTTGTAATTTACAATGTATGTACTATAGTGTTGTTCAAGTATGCGAAATATGTATAACTACATAATACATTGTTGTTTAATTATTGAAATTAAGTATAGTTATATGTATGTTGTATAATTTCGTATAATTTATATGAAGCATTTAGTTGTTGAACTACATATATGAAGCATTTAGGAAATTACGAACTACATTGTTGAGTTAAGTACATTTAAATGTATCTTACATTGTTAGATTAAGTAGGTAAGTTAGTATGTTGTTGAACACTGCGTTGTATGTACGCTTTGCTTGGGGATTTATTGGAATCATTATGGTTTTAGTTGTGCATATGTGTCACCTAATATGTGGTATGATGTTATGTAGAACATGGCTTCACAATTGATTGTTTTGTTATGCCGTTGGGGGGGTGAAATTTTGTGTGTCGGACCCAATGTCGAGTATAGAGGAGGAAAAGTGGAACCGCTAGCATTGAAACCTTGTATGACTTACAATGATTTTTTGAAGAAAGTTTATACTATAATTGGTTCAAAGCCAACAAGTGTTGAAGTGAACATCAAAATGAGGTTTGAAAGTGTTAGCGGGATTCAAATCTTACCTGTTTTGAATGACGACCATTTGGAGGTTTTGAGGGGTGTCGTTGCAATGAGGTCTCTTCCTACTGATTTGTATGTAGAAACGGTGCCTGTATGTACTCAACAACCAACATTTCTTCCATCATACAATGCAAGCTCTCTACAAATGCCCGCATATAACATTCCATCATCTGAATATGGAATGGGTTCTTTCAGTAGAATGTTACACGACGATTAATTTGACATTCCATTCAGTTCACAATTTACGGCGTCGGGGTCAATGCAGAAACCTGGTCCATCTACCTCAAACAATGACATTTCATCATCGATGCAGTTGCAAAGTTACTCTCCCACGCAAGAACATATTGAAACACCACCGTTTCAGACTTTGGTGAATGCTGAACTTGTTGTAAACAACGAGTTGTCTGTTCTTGATATGTATAATGACACAAACGACGAGGGTGAAGACGGAGATGAAGAAGATGTTATAAACAACGATTTGTCTGTTGATGATGTTGTTGCTAGAACTCCATTACCTTGGTTCAGTCAAATAAACGAGAACTATGAGGTGGACATACATTGGGGTGATTCGGGGAGCCAGTGTTCGTTTTGTGTCGGGGGATAATTTGAGAAGGGCATGATTTTCGACAATAAGAAAGCGCTACAGGAAATGGTGAAATTGTATTCCATAGAGCGAAATCATTTCTACACCACAGTGACGTCGAATGAGAATGTCCTTCATTTAAAGTGCAAGAGGGGGTGTGGTTGGTCGCTACGTGGTACAAAAACAAATCTAACCACACGTGCCTTTAAGATCGTATCTTACAAGGGCCCACATCGCGACAATTGTGTTAATGAAGTTCCGCCCAGAGATCATCGACACTTGGACTCCTCTGTTATCTGCGACTATGTGAAGTCGTTTGTGCAGAAAGATCCATGTTTGAGAGTTGAGTTCATACAACATATCATCTCCAACAAATTTCAATTCGATGTTCCATATCGAAGAGCGTGGTATGCCAAACAGAAAGCGATTGCGGAAATTTTTGGGGATTGGGAGAGTTCATACAACAGACTTCCTTCATTCATGCAAGCCCTCCAGGAGTCGAACCCAGGCACTGTAGTTCTGTGGAAATACAAAGCTATTGCTGAAGGCGTTTATTACAGCAACATGGAGGTATTTGAACGAGTGTTCTGGGCCTTTAAGTCTTCCATCGATGGGTTCAAACACTGCATGCCTCTGTTATCTATTGATGGGACACACTTGTATGGGAAATATAAAGGCACACTTTTGGTTGCTACAAGTGTTGATGCTAATTTTCAGGTATTTCCTTTATCATTTGCAATAGTTGAAGGGGAAAACACCTCGAGTTGGTCCTGGTTTCTAAGCTGCATTCGGGTTCATGTTACTGATCGAGAGGGCCTATGTGTTATATCTGACCGACATGCGGGGATTATTGCTGCGATGACTAACCCGGATGTTGGATTTCATGAGCCACGGGCCTTTCACAGGTTTTGCGTTCGACACATGGCCTCTAACTTGAGGACCCATGTGAAAAACAACGACATGAGAGACAGGTTCAAGGCTGCTGCATACCAACGCCAAGAAAAAAAATTGGTTGAAGATATGCGTTCTATCGGCGAAGCTTGTGTTAAGTCCCTAGAGTACATCACGGATGTGCCGTTTCACAGATGGTCCTTGTTTCATGACGCTGGTCGGAGGCATGGTATATGTACTACAAATTTCTCAGAAACTTTTAACAATGTGTTGAAGGGAGCTCGTTTTCTGCCAATCATGTCCCTTGTCGAGTTAACTTTCCACAGAGTTAACAAGTACTTTAACAGAAGCAGAGATAGTTCACTTGCTAGGCGTGCTCACGGATATGCATACTCACCTAAGGTCACCGCCATTTTGGAGAAGAATAATAGAAAGGCAAAATACCATACAGTGGATGTTTATAGCCGTCAGCTTGGTATATACCAAGTAAAAACACACCGAGGAGAAAGGATAGGGAGAAAAGGGGGTCATAAGCATACCGTTAACTTTAATTTAAGAACATTTACATGCAACAAACCGATGACATTTGGGGTGTTGCCTCCTGATGCTGATGATGGGGTTGTCCAAAGATACGCTCGAGCGTACCTGTTCATGTTGATAGGATCATTATTCAGTAACAAGAGTGGTAGTCACATACAGTTGATCTACCTACAGCTGTTAGAGAAAAACTGGGAGGGTATACGTGACTACAGCTGGGGTAGTGCGTGTCTGGAAACCTTATATCGACATCTTTGCAGAGCATCCCAGCGTAGTAGATGGGAGATCAGCGGTCCCTTGATTGTGCTTCAGGTAGTCTTGTACTTTCATACCATTTTCTACCTATTACGTACTAAACATTGGCTAGACTAAACTTTTGTTTTTTTGTTACAGTTATGGGCTTGGGAGCACATCCACGTTGGTAGGCCAGCTATGCCTGCTAGGCGTCGACGCAAGGAGGAGGAGGAAGACGATCAGGAGCATGCATATGAGGCGCCGCCACACCCACCACCGGACTTAGCATACGGTTGCCGGTATGTATGACTTATTGTTAAGTTATCCACATATGGTTTTAATTTTCTATTAATTTTGTCATGAACACTGTTATTATACATGTAATCAGGTGGCTAGGGCGGAGACTTACTCGTGTGCATGCAGCAAGGGGTCTGCCGTATTATAGAGATGCATTCGACAGACTGAGCGAGTCTCAGGTTATAGTTCACTTTAAAAACTAATTTAACACCGTGTTCATTATTTTAATAAGTTAATTATGATGTTAGCGACTGCTTGTTAATGCAGATGACGTGGGATCCGTCCGTCCCTCACTTAGTCGATGCCATGCCCCAATATCTTCTTGATCACCAGATGGAGTGGCGTGCCATGACAATGCTCATCTGTTTTGAGTTGGTGGAGGCTCACCTCCCCGACAGAGTCATGCGACAGTTCGGCCTTTGTCAAGCCATCCCCGCCCCGTGTGACACGAGTGTCCAGTTGCACAGGACAGACCGACGAGGAAAGGGGGAGGTTAACTGGGCAATTCAGCATGCCCCTTACATTGACATGTGGGACCAGCGGCTGCAGCACGTCGCGGATGGTGCGCCTGTCCAAGGCCTGATGGAGTATCACGATCCATACATGGTATGGTACAGGAGCATTACCCGACGCTTCATCAACCCTAACTACACCCCACCCTCAACGCATTACCACCCAGCTTTTGGAGACATCAGTGGATATGTGAGTTTTTTGTCATTTTTTCTTTTCCTCCAATTTATAGTTTCTTTAATTATTAAAATGGCTGATTGTTGACTAATGCAGGCGTCTGATATGCTTGCTATACATGATGCACTAGAAGTCTTGAGCATATCATATCCCACCATACCGCAGTTGGATGACATTCACGCAATTGAGTAGCTTACAGAGACATGGTCATGGCCATCTTATCCCCCAGGGCCGGGACCAATCACACCGCCGTTCACACCGTGAGGTAGGCAGCAGTAGTAGGGGACAGACTCACACGTCCCCTACAGGGTCCCCCCTGTTTTTTGATGATCAGGAAGATATCGCCATCCACATGTCTGCGCCATACACATCTCAGGAAGGACCATCTTCCAGCCAACAGACTCCTCCCCAGACCTCTGCCCCAAATCCTTTCACAACGGTATCTCAGTACTACCGTCGTAGAAGACCGCAATTGGATAGACAACACTTACATACAATAGATGAATCGGGATCTTAGAACTTCTTTTGTTAGTTGTAATCAGATTCTATAGTACATTGTATCCAAATAAATATTATCAATTTTACTAACCTTTTTAGTTCATTTTCTGTACATTATCAACTTCACCATACGCATTCATTCTTTTCATTGTATTGGTTGCTGGTGTTGTTGTTGTTGTTGGTGTTGTTAATGTTGCTGATGTTGTTGCAGTTATTGTTGTGGTTCCTGATTAGGGGATTTTTATCCACCAATCACCGTCTGACAAGTGGACCAACCAGGTTCCGCCACGTGTCCTTCACGAAGGCCAACAGGAGCCTGCCACGTGTCAATCACAGATACGTCCTCTACGGACCAATTTAGACACGCCACGTGTCCACCCATGCCAAATGGGAAAACCGGCCATCAAGGCCCAATCCAGTCTAGAGGCCCGATCAGCCCTAGGTTTACCTTAAACCTAGAGAGTTGCACGCTTCTCAAGGCTATAAATACTTAATTAATCCTCATTAGTTAGGTAATCGAGAAAATCAAGTAATCAAGCAGAGAAGAACAGAGATATTACGGAACACCAACAACCGGCTAATCTCGCTAACGACGCAGATTACCAACACTAAGCACTCTCACCTAGAGAGATCTTATTACTTTAATTTCCGTATTAATTTCTCCTTAATCAGGTACTAACTTGACCGTTGGAGGCGGAGCTCTCAGGAGTCTCCGTTATTTTGCAGGTACAGGCGTCCGGTTCCAGTCTCGGAATTGTAACTCTCCCGCAGGACATCAGAAAACCCCGAAACATTTGGCGCCGTCTGTGGGGAGAGTACTTCAGAGATGGCATCCAAGTCTGTACCGACTCCAGAAGAGAGGCGTCCCCTAGACGACCCTCAAGTTCAGTCGGACCATGATACCGAAAGTGAATTTGAAGTTGAAACTCATACAGCTCCAGACGGGACCCTAAGGGCCCGACGTACCCGTCATACCGAAAGGAGGGAACGGGAGCATCTTCAAACAGGAAGCGAGCCAGCAGGCGCACCGCTTGCTCGGCAACAGCCGACTGATGGGTCTGCTCCCATCACAAGGAACGAACTCATGACCTTCATGAGGGACTTCAAGGGAGAGATTCAAGAGTTGATCAACAAAAAACCGCCTGCTTCAGTCAAAGAGCAGTCGGCCAAGAAACCTTCCACTTCACTGAAGAGGAAGCCGGTTCAAGGGCGAGAGGCGACTCCCCATCCTAAATCCAAGAAGCGGGAGCCACCTGCTCTTGATTTCACAAAACTCCGTTATCCTACGGGAAATAGGAAACCGGTTCGTCATATTCAGGCGGACGGGTCAAAGCAAACGTTCACAGATGCTCGGCTCCTGCTAGAGCAGAAGAAGAGTGACCGATTATCAGAGTCGGCTTCTACTTCAAATTTTCAAGACAGTTTGCGAAATGCCTCGATGAGGCATACTCAGTCGTACCATGAGAGTCAGTCAGGCGGCACCTCCCGTCAGTCCGGCTTTCATAGTGCCCAGGCGGTACCAAACTTACCATTTGTGCCGCAACAACAGTATTTTATGCAGCCACCTCCATTTGGTGGACCTGCAGCAAAAAACGTCCAACCTATGGACTGGCAGCTACGGCTGCTTAGACTTGGTGAACAGCCGTCGGCCTTCTCCAAGGAAATTACTGAAGCCGCTCAGCCGGCCAAAGTAAAAAATGTTCTAGTAGGCGCCTATGACGGCACTACTAACCCAGAAGACCATCTGATGGCATTCACCAACCTGATGTACCTTCAAGGGTTGGATGATCCCACTTGGTGCAAGTGTTTCCCAGCGACTCTCAAGGGAATTGCACAGCAATGGTTCGGCAACCTGCCGACTGGTTGTGTAAACAGCTTCAGGACGCTTGCTTACTTATTTGCCTCCAACTTTGTTATGAACATCCCTGCGAAGAAAACGACCCTTGATTTGGGAACAATTCAGCAGGGCGAGAAGGAGGGGCTTCGTTCTTACATCAGGCGGTTCAACCTGATGAGAATACAGATTCAAGGGTTACCGGATGAGGTAGCTTATACTGACTTTTTTAGAGGTCTCAAAGACGGGTCTACCTTCAAATTTGATTTAGTTCGAAAAAGGGTGGCGACTCTTCAAGAGGCCTTGATTGAAGCAGAAGCCTATATACAGGCGACTGATCTGTGTACGATAAAACAGTCGGACGGGAAGAGGTTCGACAAAAGAGAGGGACGACAGAAACAGTCGTCCAACAAAGATGAGAAAAGAAAAGAGGTTTGGGCGGCTGATTCCTCTAAACAGCCGACTCAGAAAAAGAAAAAAGAATTCAAACCATACTCCCCAAAGTATGTGTTTAACAAGGATAACCAGTTTATCCTAAAAGAAATAAAGGGACGGTTCTCAATTGAGAAGCCGCTCCCCATGAAGGGTTCTGCAAGCAACCGGAACCAAGACAAAATCTGTGCTTATCATGATGACGTTGGTCATCACACCAATGACTGCATCAGTCTCATGCGGTACCTAGACCGCTTGGCTGATCAAGGTGACCTTGACACTTATGTCAAGAAATCTACGGGGAACACTTCCTCAAAAAAGCAGTCGGCCAAAAAGAATCAACAGGCCGACAGTTCCGATACAGATGATGCAGTCGTCTACACCATTGCAGGCGGCTTCTCAGGAGGCGGCCCCACTATTAGGGGCAACAAAGATAATATAAGGCGGTTAGATGTAAATTCCGTTCACCAAGAACGGCCGTCCAAATATACATTTCCTGAGATTGTCATCACTGAAGAGGATCTAGGAGGAATAAGGGGGCCGCATGACGACCCTCTCGTTATTGAATGTAAAGTGGCCAACCAGAGAGTTGGCCGAATCCTCATAGATACCGGGAGCTCCTCAGATCTCATCAGCAGCAAATGTCTGTCAAAACTGAAATATCAGACGGACTGCATACATCCGGCCTCCCACCCTTTAATAAGGTTTGGAGGAGGAGTCGTCCACCCACTGGGACGAGTAGATCTACCCATTCGCCTAGGCGAAAAAGGGGAAGGACGACACATGGTAGTCCGGTTCCTAGTAGTAGAGGAACTCTCGGCCTACAACATGATTCTGGGTCGACCAACCCTGAATAATTCCAAGGCTGTTATAATCCCGTCTCTTATGCTGCTTAAGTTTGAGAGGGATAATGGAACAGTCGGCTCCCTAAGGGGAGATCAGAGGATGGCCTGAGAGTGCTATCTCTCGGATGTCAAGCCCACTGTTATGGCCACTGGGTCAAGTGGAGAAAAAACAGACCTTGACAATGTCAAGGAGAGTGCGCCTGTTCAAGAAACAGGCGACAAAAAGAGAAAAGCGTCCCAGACAGAGTCCGCAAGAAAAGCAAGAAAATAGCAATCATTGGCAGAGGAGCGGCCGGATGAGTTCCGCCCTCAGCCGGCTGGTGAGCATGCGGACCTCATATTAGACGACTCACGTCCTGACCGAACAGTCAAAGTTGGGACGACTGCTCTGAGAAACCTTGGTGACGACTTTCACAACCTGTTGAAAGAATACAAGGACATCTTTGCATTTGAAGTCCATGAAATGCCAGGCATTAGTCCTGATCTGGCAGTACATAAACTCGCTGTGGATCCGAAAAAGAAGCCGGTACGGCAAAAGAAGCGGAACCATGGTGAAGAAAGAGGTCAGGCGGCAGCCGCCGAAGTCAAAAAATTACTTGATGCAGGGTTCATTCGGCAATGTTACTTCCCAGATTGGGTTGCAAATGTGGTGCTTGTTAAAAAGCCGAATGGCACCTGGCGAATGTGTGTAGACTACACAGACTTGAACAAGGCGTGCCCCAAAGACAGTTACCCTCTGCCTAAAATTGATAACCTGGTCGACTCAACAGCCGGCCATGCCTTGATGAGTTTTATGGACGCCTATTCTGGTTTCCATCAAATTCCCTTATGGAAGAAAGATCAGGAGAAGACGGCCTTCGTCACTGATCAGGGGTTATACTGTTACACGGTCATGCCGTTTGGTCTTAAGAATGCCCCGGCTACCTTCCAACGAATGATAAACACAGTGTTCTTTGATCAGATTGGGAGAAACGTCGAGGCATATATTGATGATATGATTGTCAAGACTAAACTTCAGAAAGATCATCTGACGGACCTCCGAGAAACTTTCGCCACACTCAGGCGGCACCATGTCATGCTCAATCCCAAGAAATGTGTATTTGGAGTTGAGTCTGGGAAATTTCTCGGATTCCTTATCAATCAGAGAGGAATAGAGGCGAACCCTGAGAAGGTACAGGCGGTCATAGACATGCAGTCGCCTCGTACCGTCCGAGAGGTTCAGAAGTTAACAGGTTGTCTGGCGGCCTTGGGGAGATTCCTAAGCCGATCAGGCGACAAATGCCTATACTTTTTCCAGGCAATTAAGAAAAAGGCAAGGTTTGAATGGGGGCCGGATGCTGAGGCCGCCTTCCAGAAATTAAAAGTTCACTTGCATTCCTTGCCGAGGCTGGTCAGCCCTTTGCCCAAAGAAGATCTCTACATGTACCTGGCCGTATCTGATCATGCGTTAAGCGCTGTGCTCCTTGCTGAAAGGGACGGCTGTCAGCTCCCGGTCTACTTTGTCAGTCACGTACTGAAAAATGCCGAGTTGAGGTATCCCCTAGTGGAGAAATTTGGTCTTGCACTCTTCATGGCTATTAAAAAATTGAAGCCCTACTTTTTGGCACATGCAGTCGTCGTGTATACCGACCAACTAATCAAGCGGCCCCTTACCACCATGGAGTCGTCCGGACGAATGATCAAATGGGCCATAGAAATACAGAGCCTCGAAGTTACTTTCGAGCCTAGAAAAGCAGTGAAGGGGCAAGCC